TCAGGTTTTCACCGACGGCTCTGCTACAGATGCAGTCAGAAAGGGGGGTTGGGGAATTTACATTAAACCCCCTAGCAGTAGAGCAGAAACTCTCTCTCTCTCTCTACCAGCAGATGACATCTGCACTAACTTCAGAGCTGAGGCAACTGCCCTCCTCAACATTGGCTTACTCTCCAAGGAAGCAGAACTGGTCTTGCAGTGGATACCAGCCCACTGTGGTATTCAAGAAAATGAGAGAGCAGATGAGTTGGCAAAAGCTGGGAGTAATCTTCCACAACCTCATCTACCACACAGCTACAAGGAAACCAAAACAGCGCTAAAGCAGTCTTTCAAGCGGGAGTGGAGAAGGCAGAATGGAGATTACAGACCAGAGAGTGACAGCATAAACAAACTTAACAAAAAAGAACAAACATCAATTTTTAGACTTCGGACTGGACACTGTGGTCTTCGAGCACACTTGTACAGGATAGGCATAAAAGAATCTGCTGCCTGTGATTGTGGAACAGAAAGACAGACCCTGAGCACATACTGCAGTACTGCCCTTACCTCTCCCAGGAAAGACTGTGGATCTGGCCCAAGGGAGCCACATTGCAAGAGAAGCTATGGGGGACCGGTGGCGACCTTAAACGCACAATACTATTTGTGACCCAGACGGGACTCAATGTTTAGCATGACTGATGTCGAACGCAGAAGAAGAATAAGAACTGAGGAAAGAGTGAAGAAGAAGAATGAATCAGGTGCCATCTCCACAATAAAGGTTGGCTGCAGTGGATCCCAACCTGCTGTCTTTCATCATGGTTATTTATACACCCTCTGAGACATCCTCATTGATTTCCTCCCGCAGTGATTTAATACTCTCGTCTGCTCTCTGGACACAAGAGCCAAAAATCATTTTCCTTTTTGATCTGTTACATTCTTCTTGTGGGATCTGAAGACTATCAGAACAATAATGGACATTTCACATTGTGATGAAGATGGTCCTTGGATCAATCAATCATTCAATCAACTGAATTCCTTGGCACTTCCCATGACAATCACCACTTGATTATTTTAGAACATTGAAGAAAATTACGTTTTTTTACTGTAATACTGTGCTCTAGAGAGGTATCGCACTCACAGCCTGTGATGACAGCAGTGTTTACCAAGACTCTAGAGGGGCATGGGACTCTCAACCTATAACAATAGCAAGTGTGACTACCAAGACTCTAGGGTTTCTAGGGAGGCATGGGACTCACAGCCTATGATGACAGCAGTGTCTACCAAGACTCTAGGGAGGCATGGAACTCACAGCCTGTGATGACAGCAAGTGTGACTACCAAGACTCTAGGGAGGCTTGGGACTCACAGCCTATGACAACAGCAAGTGTGACTACCAAGACTCTAGGGAGGCATGGGACTCACAGCCTACGATGACAGCAAGTGTGACTACCAAGACTCTAGGGAGGCTTGGGACTCACAGCCTATGACAACAGCAAGTGTGACTACCAAGACTCTAGGGAGGCATGGGACTCACAGCCTGTGATGACAGCAGTGACTACCAAGACTCTAGGGAGGCTTGAGACTCACAGCCTATGACAACAGCAAGTGTGACTACCAAGACTCTAGGGAGGCTTGAGACTCACAGCCTATGACAACAGCAAGTGTGACTACCAAGACTCTAGGGAGGCATGGGACTCACAGCCTATGACAACAGCAAGTGTGACTACCAAGACTCTAGGGAGGTTTGGGACTCACAGCCTACGATGACAGCAGTGACTACCAAGACTCTAGGGAGGCATGGGACTCACAGCCTATGACAACAGCAAGTGTGACTACCAAGACTCTAGGGAGGTTTGGGACTCACAGCCTACGATGACAGCAAGTGTGACTACCAAGACTCTAGGGAGGTTTGGGACTCACAGCCTATGACAACAGCAAGTGTGACTACCAAGACTCTAGGGAGGTTTGGGACTCACAGCCTATGATGACAGCAGTGACTACCAAGACTTACAGCTTATGACAACAGCGAATGTGACTACCAAAACTCCAGCATGTTTAGGAAAGTCTTCCAGAATTAGAGCATTGGATTTCAGGACCATTGTTGCCACCACATGTTAATAATGTTTATAATATTGTGCTTCTTTTCAGACACTGAGCTGTCAATATTTTTTCCTTTATTTCTATTCTGTTTCTGATTATCCCTCCACATAACATGGTCCATGTCATTTTGTTCTCACCAATCTACCCCAATACCTGTATCATCCATGTCCTACTTGCACACATCTTTATACACCCCCCCCCCCCCCAACAACAACAAAAATACCACAGCTATATGTTTGTTGCTCACTGTTTTATTCAGACATTGAGTCAATCAAACCAAACCAACATTGTAACAAATATAGTCTAACTTTAGAATACAATATTTTTCTCAAAAATAAATATTTAAAAAGTCAGCAAATGTTAAGTAGCAACAGCTACATGAGGTGTAAATATATAAAATAAATATGAAGCCCAGACACAGGCAAATAAACTCCATTTGTAAGGGAATCAAACCAGATGTCATTTTGTATGTAGCAATCAGGAAACCAAGGAGAGACAAGTTTGCCTATTGAATTATTGTAGGCCTTCAAGAAAACACTTCTGTAAGTTGATCCTTAAGTCCTTTATTTCTTCTATCCCTGTAAAATTACAGATTAAATGGGTACTAGAACATGTCCTAGTTGACTATTAGCTCATCCAGTGCTAATGAATCTACAAACTGTATGGGGCTCGCACCATATGCCCTGTGAGTTTTTGATGTTGGAAAGATCCTTTACTTTACATTTCAGAAACAAAGGAATATCACACTGACAAATCAAGATACTGACAACAGTTAAAAACATTACCTAGTTCATGTATCATCATCATGAGTCTAGATAAAAACTACAGTGGCCTGGATTCCTTTGATTGTTCATGTTTCTTCAGTGTCATTCTCTCTTCTGTGTCATTTTGAACACTTTCATCACTAACAAGGAACTCTAATCTTCTCTGTAGTAAATCCATTAGCATACAAGGACTAACCACCTGTTCAGGCCTTCACGCACACTTGGTGTAAGGCTGCTCCCTGGCCACACCGATCAATGGTCTGCATATGCTTGCATTCTGTTGTTGCAAATTCGTTCTCTCCTTGTTTGACTGGGCTCTCTAAAGGCATTCATAACAGGGGCTTAATCCTTTGAGGGACTATGTGCTGTGGTGACCGCCTATTTGTTATTTCATTGTCTACAAAACCCTTGTGACATGAAGATAATTGTGACTTCATGAACTGAAAACTTCTGCAAGGTTGCAATCAACCTGCCTCAACTTTCTGGATGATTCTGAATCAACCACTTGGATGCAAGCACTGGTGCAGGTGAAGACTCAAGCCAACAAAATGCCAATGTCCTTGCCAACAGTTCCATCATCACACTGTTTGTAGCTCTTGTAAAATCACTGCTGCCTTCTTTAACAAAAGCAATACAGGGTCTGCAGGTTTCTTGAGGATTTTAAAAAGAAACATCTCTTGGAGGTAGCAAGAGAGTCATGGCAGGATATGTATGTAAGAAATGTAATAGAAACTGATAACTGTTTAGATCCATCAGTAGGAGGCTGCAGCGATCTTATTTTATGCAACAGTGATGAGAACTCAATGGACAAATGAGAAACATAATGTAGATATCTTGAGAGAAACTCAAATTACCCACATCAGAAGAGGACAATCCATAATCTTTTTGGCACCGAAAGGCAAAACTTGCATTTCTAGTACCAGCAGAAGTGTTGACTGGAAGAGAAATGGAAGAAGACTAATAGAGAGGATGTGGGACAATTCAACAGCACAGTATGGAGGGATGTTTGTATACAACATTAGTGCAGTACATGAGACACAAGGCTGTGGGCAGACAAGATAACCAGTGTCACACAACATAGATTTTTATTGTTGAGAAGAACTATCAAGAATTGGAAAGAGCAAAAAATGGACAGGAATGAACTTTGGACTGGAGCACAAAATGGACAGGAATGAACCTCGGGTTGGAGCACAGAATAGACAGGAATGAACCTTGGATTGGAGCACAGAATGGACAGGAATAAACCTAGAAATCGAGCACAGAATGGACAGAATAAATCCGGGACTGGAGCAAAGAATGGACCGGAATGAACCTTGGGTTAGAGCACAGAATGGACAGGAATGAACCTTGGATTGGAGCACAGAATGGACAGGGGTGAACCTGGAACTGGAGCACAGAATGGACATGAATGAACCTTGGTTTGGAGCATAGAGTGGACAGGAATTAACCGTGGATTATAGCACAGAATGGACAGGGATGATGCTGGAACTGGAGCACAGAATGGACAGGAAGGTCCTTGGATTGGAGCACAGAATGAACAGGAATGATCCTTGGTCTGGAGCATAAAATAAATAGGAATGAACCTTGGATTTGAGCACAAAATGCCCAGGAATGGTCACACTTTTTTAAAAAAAAGGGTAAGAACTGGGCTCCAACTTTTGTCACATTCTTTTCATTCATCTTTAATACATAAATTATTTTTTAAGCACTGAGCACATTCAGTTCATTTAGGAGTAAACCCAATAATATGACTCATGAGCACAGAGACACTATAGAGCAGTGTGATGCGTACCTGTTGAGGATGCAAAGAACACAGAGGCATTTACTGAAGTAGACATTTCCTACAATAAGAAAACATGTGCTTGACAGTATTTGTGTGTATGTGTGACAAGGGTGATGGGATGTGTGTTTTGTGTGTCTGTGGGCAGGAATGTGTGTGTGTGTTTGTTTTATTTGCAGAAATCCATGAGATTTACAACATCTGTCAGCACACAGAAACGAAACAATCACTGCAAAACAAAATATGCCTTAGACTCATTAATGTATGCCCCAGTAAATATGTGATGAAATCAGCATGGCTGACTGCCATCAATGGACACTGACTCTGTGTAACGCATACACAGAAAACACTGGTACTGAGCAATGCAGCAGACTAGTCCTAATCCATGGGTACTGTATTGATTGGTTGGCCGTGGACACGGAGCCTGTAGATGCAAGTGAAGTCTGGGTTGCCATGGTTGTTGAGGATCTTGAGGGTGATAATGAAGAACACTTTGCTGTTGATGGGACAGTCATTGCCATTTGATTTCATCTGGCAGTAAGGGTCCTATATAAGAAAAATGAAGAAAGATTTAATCTGAACATGTAGGACTTGTTCAGGTAAGTAGCACATTAGTCATCTTCAAATATTACACTAGCCACCTACAAGTGACAGACTAATCACTTACAAGTATCACACTAGTTACCTCATAGTATCACACCAGTCACCTCCAAGTATCACATTAGTCACCTCCAATTATCACACTAGTCACCTCATAGTATCACACTAATCACCTCGTAGTATCACACTAGCCACCTGACAGTATCACACTAGTCCCCCTACAGTATGACATTAGTCACCTCATCAATAATATGTGAAGATTATTGACAGCTAGAGAGATAAACAACACAAAAAGTACAATCAACCCTGTTGTATCGTGAAGAAACCTTGACAATGAACAGGCAACTAGGAAATCAAACGGAGTCTTTGAAAATTTGAATATAGTGAAGAATATGGTCGCACTTCTTGAAAAAAAAAATCAAATGCAGAAGTTCTGGAAAGTCTACGACTAAAAAGAGAATTACTGGAAGAAAAAAAAAAAGACATTTAAAATATTTTGGCCACATTAAAAAATTAAAAACAGTATACTTTTCAAAAACATACTGGAGGGAAAGGTCAAGAGCAAGAGGTTGACAGTGATACAAGTGGGAGGATAACATCAAGTGATGGATGAACAGTAGTCTAAGAGAGTGTACAACCAAGATAACTGACAGAGTGTGTTGGAGATCCATTGCAGCCGACCTTCATTGTGGAGGTGGTACCTGATTGATTGACTGATGACACACCTACAGACAGTGAGTGCAACAGTTTAGACAAAATATGATCCTGACAATTTGTTACCTTGATATCAAACACCTGGATGGGTTCCCTGTCAATATGGTACGTGAATCTGCCTAGAACAACATCTGGGGAGTCTGTCGTCCTCTCTTTGCCCTGAAAAGCAAACAAGCTATATAGCAGCAGAAAATTGTGCATTCAACTTGCTTTCAGTTTAATACATTCTCATTAGCTAAAAAAACACACACTGGATGGAAATAAACAGGAGAAAGAAATGCTAGGGTTGTATTCAACAACTTAATGTATTTTAAAAAACATGCATGAGACTTTGCTGATGAAAAATTTAGCCCTATAATGTTACAAACAAAGCGTGATCAAATGAAACCTACCAAATGGCTTTATTACAGATATATGACAAGTATATGGGTAGGAATGGAGCTGGGAATGGAGAGTAAGAGGCAACAAAGAAATTCCTGTTCGAATTAATACTATTTACTGGCACCATGGGTGCTACTAGACTGCGATAGTTGTGCTATATAAAGAGAATAGCTGAGAACAGGGACAAAACTTATTACACAAAAAAAAAAAAAAAAAAAAAAAGGTGAATGGGAATAGACCATGAGGCAGACAAAGAAGACAGTGGAGAGATATAAGGGCAGACATACAAACACTTGGAGTCAGCAAGTGGAAAGAAAAGGCCAATACAAAGAGGAATGAATAGAGGTGGATAGTATCTGATGAAATGAACCTCAAGGGCTGGAAATGCTGAAGAATGAGAAGAAGATAGCAGGATGTGGCAGAAAAGCAAATGTCAGGAAGCAAGATGTACCTGGAGTGGTCAGGAAAAATATAGTAGACATAAGCATTTAGACACTGCTCTGGAAGACAACAACTAATGCCCGCTAAAGATCTGGAAAAACAAAATCAAACTGTGATGTTAATCTTTTGTGTTTGGTGATTAGGAATATTTCTACTGCATGCTCCCTGTTTTGCTACATAGCTTGAAGTGGTGGTACTGAGATTCCTTACAGGACATTTTGAGGGAAAGAAATTCATTTCTGTGTAATGCAACATCAGGTTTAAATTTCACAACATGTGTTTTTAAATGTCAAGTAGCATCTTCTGAGGCAGTGGGATGCATGTCTGCATTTACCCACAGTGACCTCTTCTCATTTTAATACTCTTACTAATATAGTTTCATTCATTTGTAATTAAACTATTGGGACAGATCGCATATAATATGACTCATATATTAATTTATCTAAGATATGGAGATAACAACTCTGGGGAATGCCAGTTCTCAAAATGTGGGCCATAAACAAACTAGAAGAAAACAAGAATTACTGAAGGTCCAAATATCTTAAGCATACCAAAAAAAAAGACACAATACCCTCTAGAGATGCCATACTATGACACTGGTAAGAGACCAAATATATTTAGAATCATTTGATGCCGACCTCTAGTGTGAAGATGGCAAGGTATCTGAAGCAAACACAAACAAGAGTATTAATCAGGCCTTAAACATTTAACAGAAACAAAAAACACCTTTTCCAATAATAAGTGAAGTGTCCCCCGTGTGGGTTCCAGGGCCCTATTTTAGGGAAAACAAGAATAGACCCACTGCCTTCCCAAAAGCATGGCGTAAGAGTTGACTAATTGGGAGCTTCCTTCGAAGTCGGAGTGCATCTGCCTAAGAGGCAAGGAACCAACAGTCTGCACACAAATGTGTCAGATCTGTCAAATGCAACACTCATGTTCTGGAACAAGACTGCAGTCCAGAAATGGAAAAACAACCAGAACTTTCCACCAGAGTTTACAGCTGGTGAATGCAAAGAAGAAGAAGAAGTAGTGAAGTATAGATCCCTTTACAAATTACCGGTACACATGGCACTAGACACATACTTTAACAGATCAATGGGCACAGGACAGGCCATGTGTTTAACACACTGCCGCTGCCTTTACTTCCTTTAACATTTCCTGACAGCCTCTGTTCAGATTCCATGCTTGTCAAATTTTGGTAGTGCCTCTAGAGTATAGAGAAAGATCTGCTGATTGATGATACTTACTATTATCAAAAAATCCTTTGGTGCAGAATCCAGGCGACCTGAAGGAGCTACCTCCTTGGGGATGTGTTCAAGGCTGATTGCACTAACCATAATTGGCATGGCCAGCTGAATCATAACGTAACCATGGGTGCCATCCATAGCCCAGCATTTGCCTGGTTGCACATCAGGCTGTGAATGAAAGCCCAATGTTTTAGTTGCAGTGGTAATTCTAAGTGAGAAATAGGAATCTTCAATCAAAATCACAAGGTCAGTAGTATATTCAACCACTGCACTAGCCACCATGTCACAATCTCATAAATGCAAGCACAGAAACATGCATGGCACAGTAGGCGGAGCTGCACTTCTGCACTGACTACTTTTGTTAGTCAATCCTTTGGCTGTGTGTGCATATAACTGTTAAAAAATAAAACGGGTAGATTTTTTGCTCGACCTCGACATTTCCAAGTTAACACAGTTTTAGAAATTGGAACCAGAAAATTGTATGGAAAGTAAAGGCAAGCAACATGAAATTGACCACAGCAAACATCAAATGCCTAAAACATAGTCTAGTAGCTTATACCCAAAATGCTTCATGGTTTGAAAATGGTACTTTGCTTACAAATGTTGTATCGGTGAGTCCATCACCATCATATGCGATGTTGCTAAGTGTAGGCTGTTGTGTTTCATCATCTCACATGTTCGCCAGAATCACCAATCAGGTCTATGTTTTTACCTCGCCCCCCATCCAGCTGGCTAGGCCATTCGTGTATCTATCTCTCTGCCTTCCTCTTGCTCCATTTCCACCAATCTTGCCAGTTGTTACCAAGTTCTTGTCCCAAAAAATATAGACTGTCTACATCTGATTGTTCTAATAAATTGGTAAGTTGTGTGGTACTTATTGTTTGTATCAACATCCTAGCATATAAGTTTGATCCATTCATGCTCCATCCTCTGATTGGTAAGTGCTACTGATTAGCAAAGATAATGGGTGGGTTGAGTCACCAGTAGTGGTCGAATGTTTCCTCTAACATGATCTGAGCTAGAGTTAAGAAGATTTGGTCTTGTACAAAAGGCACCAGTTAATTTAGTAGATATGAAGAAACTGATGACTGGTAACCACTAACTTACTATTCCATGAATCTACTATTTGCAAGTATGGAAACCTAACACTTCAGAAATATAAATCATGGAATTTCTCCCTCTCACTTTCTCTTCCTTTTTCACACACATATAAATGTATATGTAAATGTACATAAATTTAATATTTCAAAACTTGAACAATAAGAACTTTGAGCTAACTGACATTCATACTACACAAATGGGGAAAAGAGAGCTGCACAGAGTGACTGTAAATTATGATGTCTGTCTCAATCTCCAGCAGACAAGGAATATGAACAATGTGGCAGTTAATCAGAGTCTAGCCTCCATGAACAAAGGTGAACAATCTCAGAGGCTCTGTTTGTGTGTGAAAATTCAGCATTGTGAAACTGAATATGCTTTTGCCCAGGCTAAATCTCAAAATTATGAAAACTATCTTCAAAAATAATCTTTGCAACTAATATTCTGGTTTACATATTTAGATTCTTGTCACAGCTGCAGAGTTTTAGCAATGAGATTTTCTTTGAATGATCTTTGAGTAATAATGCTGCAAAGTTAAATGCAAACCACTTTGGTTAATTTTGACGAGAGCCAACCATTTATAAGACAATGGCAAACTACTCAACGTGTCTAAAATTGTCTCAACAATGCTGAGTTGGTTCTACAACGTCCTGTAAAGGATACGGAGCTAACCTTTTAAACGCTAGTTGATGCTTACCTAAAAATGCATGGATGGGAAAAACTGAGCCTTTTCCACAGTGGAAGTAGGCTGCAGCAGATGTGTGCTTTCGTATTATGTGATGAGGCTTTAATGGCCACTTTTTCTACCAGATCAGCAGCGTCGCTATGGGCACTAAGATGAGACCTAGCTATGCCTGCCTCTTCATGGGCTACCTCGGGCATTAGATGCATCATGCATATACCAGTAGGCTCCTCGAGCTCTACAGGAATATCGATGATTGCAGCAGTGTAACCGATATGCCCCTACGTGAACTGCAGAACTTCACCCATTTCTGCTCCCACTTCCATCACAGCATCTGATGCAGTTCTAGCATCTCATCTTCCTCGCCTACTGATTTCCAAGCTTTTCTTCTCTATATCTTCTCTCATCTCTTTGCGTGCAAGGACTCCATTCCTTTCTCCCAACTATTACATCTCCTCTGACTATGCCAGGAAACTAACAACTTTCAGAAGGCCCTAGAAATGCTGGACTTCTTTGGGCTTTGATGTTATTCTGAACATGTCTTATCTGCCGCATCAATCGTGCAGAGGCCTAAATGTACCTCAACAGACCTATCCTCATACTTACCTACCACCCTCACAAAATCCGGGCTAAAAATATTCTCAGGGCTGACCCTGCCACAAGCACGATATTCTCTGAACTTCCTCTAGTGGCCTACAGACATGACCATAACCTCAAGGACATCTTAGTCAAGAGTCGCTTACGGCCTGCGTCAGAGTCCCATTTCGGCACAGTCACATGCCATAAACCCATATGCAGGACATATCCATATGTGGTTCAGGGAACAAGTCTGGAATACCTGAATACCACCTTCCACATATGTGATGTATTCTACTGCACGAGCCGCAATGTCATTTACGCCATCAACTGCAAGAGATGTGGCATGAAATACATTGATGAAACGGGTCTACAACTGGCTGATTGGTTCAGACATCTTCTGGATGTGCAAAATAGTGAAATGAAACCAGTACCAATTCCCGGGATCACCAAGGTGTCCACGACATGGAGGGGACAATCATTAAATCTAGCCACTCCTGTGATAAGAGTCTGCAAGTCTCTTGAAAATCGTTTTATTTTCACTTTGGGCACTTTAACATCTAGAGGACGTATCTGCCAACACAGTTTCAACAACCATCTGCCAACAACCATCTGTATAAACAGTCACATTACCCAAGCAAGTATTAATCTGAATTACCTGCTGAATTGCCACCTCTGAGGCACCTGCCAGCCACTCCCTGCACTCTAAACTCAATGTGATTATGACTTCACAAATCTGACTGTTCCGCTAGAACTCTGACCCACTCCTCTCCTTGCCTAATGTTCTTAAGGATGCAAACCTCAAATCACAAGCCAATTAAAATCAAAAGCCACAAGAGTTATCTTTATCTACACCCCCTCCTCAAAATTGAATCTTTGCATCAATGTATGAAGGATTGTGACATGCACTCAATAATTTTTAAGTCACAGAACTCAAATAATGGACAATTTTAGAAATTTGAAAAGTAAATAAATACATATATTCATACTTGAATAACTTCCCTTGGATTTGATGAATGATACCACAATGGAATGCCGAACACACTGTACATAGCACCAGACTTGGCAAAGTAAGTTTCACTGCTACACAGTACTGATCCACCTGGGATATAAAGTCACCTGTGTACTTCATGAAGAGTTCATCTTGTGTTTTAAAGATTAGCTTCACAACAAATATCAAGCACATGTTTTAACAACTGTTTTTTTTAATGCAACTTAAAGCCTTAGTCACACAGACTGCTATACAGTATCACTCATTCAACATCTAATAAGATACAAGTAACATTCTGCTGTTAACACATATTATGTATCTCATAAATGTAAAATAACTTCATCAAACATGTAACGTTCCTTCGTCACCCAGATAATATCATTTATTCTGCAGCTTTCTTTTAACTTCGCCAGCAAAATCCTTATGCATATTATTCTGGGGAGGACTGAGAAAAATTGGATTATGAACTACAAGAAACACAAGCGGGCTTTAGATGTGGCAGGGGAAAAGAGACCATATTTTCAGTATGAGAATCATCCTAAAGAAGTGTAGAGAATACAAGATAGATCTTCATACTTGTTTCAAAGACTACAGCAAGGCATTTGATTGTGTGCAGCACCATAAACTATGCCAAATAATGAGAGGCATGGGATTTCCAAATCATCTGGTGCATTTAATGGAATCTATTTCTTTCAGGCATGCCGTGAAGAGAGCTACGTTCTGTAAAGAACTTGCTGATTGATAATGGGTTATAAATTTCCCTCATTTTATCCTACATGTACAGCGGCTTGCATCACTTGAGAAAACTCAGATCATGAGCATATCATGGATTTTCTGTCTAGGATAATTGGGTGTGCGAGGCAATAAGCAGACTGATAGATTAGCTGCTGCCACTCCTCTGGGTGTTGAGTTATTTTGATAAAGCAGACATCTTCTTCTTCTGCCATTTATCCCCCAATGGAGCATAGGCCCTCAACCAACTCAGGCCAAGCCGTTCTATCCTTCGCCATTACATGGAGCTCTCCCCATCTTTCTAGCTTCATTCTCCAGCTCTTCTCTCCATGTGTTTTTTGGCCTCCCTTTAATCCTATGCCCTGTGGGTTCCAATGCAAAGACATTCTTGTTATGCTGTTCTGTTTTCTCAGTGTGTGTCCTATCCAACGCCAGCATCTTTTCCTCACCTCTTGGTACACTGAAGCCTGTTTATTTCTCTCTCAGAGCTCAACATTATTTATTCTATCATGCCATTTAATTCCCTCTATTCTGCACAGGCACCAGTAATTGAATGTCTGTAATTCATTAGTAATTGCCTCAGTTGTTCTCCATGTTTCTGCCCCGTACAAAAGTTCTGATTTGACATGAGAATTAAAAATTTTTAGTTTAGTATTTCTTTTAATTTCTTTTGACCTCCACAAATTCCCTAGTGATTTGAAAGCTCCTCTTGCCTTTTGTGTTCTTATTTTAATATCTCTATTAGTTCCTCCATCTTTATCTACATTGCTGCCCATATAGGTGTACGACTCCACATCTTAGAGTGGGGTGTCATTAAGAGAAACCACATTACTATTTGCCTGATTTATTCTTATTATCTTTGTCTTTCCTTTGCGGATTTTCAGACCAAGCTGCTGTGATCTCGCATCAAGTACATTTAATTTATCTTGCATCTGATTCCGTGAATGAGACAAAAGAGAAATATCATCAGCGAAGTCCAGATCATCAAGCTGTTTTGTAGAGGTCCACTGAATTTGTGGGATTCCATAGTGCCCCGTCAATTTTCAGAGAGATTGCCTATCAATGCTGTCAAATGCTTTTTCATAGCTCTATTATAATACGCTCTATTATAATACGTAGTGTGGCTATCTGATCAGTACAGGATCTGTTTGACCGATACTGTAACAACTAGAATGAAAGGACTTTTTTTTCAAAGGGTTACTACAAATTGGGCATGCAGGTTTGTTTTACATTTAGATCATCCAAACACTCATCTTTAAAAAAAAAAAAAAAAAAAAAAAAAGCAAAACTCTGTTTAATTTTTAAAGCATGTTCTTCCTTTTCTTCTTTCGGTTGCTTTAAATAGATTATCTATATCTGCAATGCTGTCTCTAGCATGAACTTCACTGGGTATTATAATTCACTCAGCAACCTGTAAAGTTTCGCTTCAACCATTGTTTCTATTGGCCAAATGTTTTGCCTAATATGTTGTATTTGGGACAGTCTTGGAGGATGTGATCTGTTGTCTCTGGTGCTAATTCACATGTATACATGGCTGATTCGTGAATATTAAATATTGTGTACATGTGGCAGCAAAGTTGACTGTGTCGTGTTCTAAGGCATAAAAAAAAAAAAAAAAAAAACTAGGTCTGGTCTGTCCATAATCTGGCAATCATCTTGTGCCAGTTTTGGTGACTTTTTGATTGATCTGATTATTCTCTTCTTCTGTTGATCAGAGACTGGTACATCAGGTTGTTCTTTATTTGAATCTTCTTTAACTAGTTTCTCAGATCTCTTGTTTGCACACACACACAAAAAAAACCATGTTGTGTTCACAGTACAAATACTATGAATATCAAGTAAAATACACAAAATCATAGGTGGAATATGTGCTCAGATATACACAGGCATGCATGAATGGACATAGACACCTCTCCCCCATCCCATCATTTCCAGCACATAAAGGTGACCAACATTTATCCCTGTGTGGGTTTCTGTGCCTATGGGGGGAAGAATAGACTAATTAACCATTCCCCCACTCCCCACCAACTCAACAAGCATGTCGTGACATGGTGACTATTTATGGGCTTTCCTAGGAAGTCGGAGTGCATCTGCCTAAGAGACAAGGAAACATCAGTATCCATACAAATAAGTTACATCTGTAAAATGATGTGAATGCAAAACTGAAGTTTTGGAACAAGATCAAAATCCAGATGTGGTCGACCAACCAGATCTTTCCTCTAGGAAAATAATAATAATAAGAAGAAAAAGAATTAGAAAAAAAAAAAAAAAGAATATGATACTGGCCACGTCATCGACATAGTGCTGACAGGTGTATAAAATAGCTGGGGTTAAAAACAATGTTCCCAATAAACCTCAAGGTGTGAAAATAGGACATTTATAGTTTATACCTCTGTGTCTGTCTTATGATTATCACTATCAGGTGCTCCAAAGAGGTCTTGATTTGTCATCCCATACGACTGTTAGTCATGGATTAGATATGTTTTCTTGTTCAGCACAAGCCACTTAAACAAGTTATCCATGTTTTCATCTCTTCGTGTTCTTTTTCCTCTTTTCCTACTAATATTTTCCAACTGGCGCCCAGTTTTCAATTTAATGTGATCCCAAGATTTATAAAACACAAAAGCAACAAACAAGAAAGTTAGCTTCAGACAACAACAATATTTCTCTCACCGACTGACTCCAGGGCATAGTCAGCCAGACCAAGACGATCAGCATTGTACTTGGCCAAAGCCTCCTGGACAATATCTCTTGTTGACTTCATGAAACAGAGACAACAGCAATATTCTGGTTTACGCTTCAATTTTATTAAAACTTGCATCATTTATATAAGATAAATGCAATTAAAGAACTCTTTTTTTTTTTTTACAATGGCACATCAGGTATATGATATAAGTAGGTTTTTTTAAACTAGAAAAAAGCGCTGGTACTCATCAAATAGTGTGTAAGAAAGGTGGTGCAGGTACTCACCACAAAATGTTTATTACATAGTGCAGAAGAAAAAATTATATAAAAAATGGAGCTGGTACTGCGTACCATTGTTTACCACTTGAAAAAAAAAACACCTGGATTTAGAGCCCCATTTTTTAAAATTATTCAGTTGGAACAAGTTGGGTAATGTCCAACAGCTGACCGTCTGTCCTGAAGTAGCAGGACATTTACTGGTATACACTTCAGCCTGGAGTAATAGTTAACTGTCAAATCTGCATCATTGCAGATTAGAACCCAGGACCTTTCAGTCAGAAGACTTCAAGCCATCACCCCCCCCCCTCTCTTCCATTCTTTATGTATGTGACCATGCGATACCCTGTATGTACATGGAAAAGAACCACCTCATTTATCAAAGTAGATGCGACTGGTACCATTAAAATTAAAACTCCTTGCCTGCTGCTGAAGATGGGAACAGAGCACTTATGGGAGGGTCCCAATTGCTGTGATGTAGATTCTTAATTTAATATTCAAGTAGGTGCAGCTGACCTGTGCATGTTGATGTTATATACACATTGTGAGGCACATTCACAGTACACAGTGCATGCTATATTCACAGTACACATTGTGCTATATTTACAGTACCCAGTGTTACATTCACAGTACACAATGTGTCCTAGTTTCACATTTAGGTTAGTTGAGTGTCCTTTACAGGACGTTGCAGAATCAACCCTAACAGCCCCTGGCTGTTGTGTTGGTTTTTCTAGGCATATTCATGTCCAGCAGTTTGCCATTGCTTTTTGGACAGTGGGCTTTCTTAATACCACTGTGGAAACCAATGCCAGGCGAATGGCCCGCAGCTGGGATCAAACCCGACATTACGAAGCGTTCGCATTGACTTAGCCACAAAGCCGAAAGATTCACAGTACACAGTGTATGCTACATTCACAGTGCACAATGTGCACTACAACTACTTAGACCTTACTGCTGTTCTCCCCTTCCCCCACACGAGCCATCATTAAACAAACACGGATGTGCACATGAACCACAACACAAATCTATCACTTGTAATATTTATATTGTTAGGGGAGATAAAAAAACATTATTGCAGTACAAGCTGTGACTATATGACATATTCACTGGTCATTGTAAGTCATGATCCCTGCTGTCCTAATCCTTGATAAAGGCTGGCCATCAAAAGTAAGAACTGCTGGTGTGTTACTCAATTTTAGTGTGCAACTACAAATGTGTCCAAGCTGCTGCTTACATCGGCGATGAACTGCAGTTCTCGTTTTGGACTGTTTGTGTTAGCACATTTGATTCTGCCTTATGCATTAGTGTGTATGCTATTGGTCTTACCAAAATTACAGACTGTGTCAGGTTTTTTCCCCACAAGGGACAGCGATGTGCATTTCCTGTGGTTTTCGAAGATACAAGAATGGAGCAATCATTGTTATGAAGTTGACACTTTATATACCCAATTAATTATCCTATCTGTCGTCCCCTTGGGGGATGCAATTTTTCGTTATTTTCTAAGCCCCACGCTGGCTGTGGCCGGGGGCCCTAATATAACCTAACGGTTAAATGAGGTTTCCGGGACCTTTCCACGGGTTATACTCATCCCCATGGTGGCACTTTGTGTCATCGGATGTTTATTGCTCTGTGTGGTGTCCTGGCGGGGTAAAATTTACTACTACTACTCCCCGATTAATTTGTTTCTTGCTGTCATCATTATTTTCTACACAATTCTAGAATATTATACCGGAAATTTCCACCTGTCTTTCATTGAAATAACTATACTAAAATATTTCACTGTCGTACCTTCAACCAGGATGCCGGCAGGACAAAATGTGCAATTATCCTAAGAAGTTTCATCATATGGGAGACCATTGTCATGGCGTACATGTAGAAAAATACTGAAAGAAAATTAGGTCAAAGAGTCATGAATGAAAACCATACTGTTGGCTTTTTTAAGTCTAAATATTTATTTTTGTTTGTCTAAATAATGGCTTTGTCTAAATAAAAAGGAATAGAGTCCTTACAGTTATCTGTCATCTCATTCTCGATTATTTTTCATTTTGACAAAAATATTGTTCCTGTCCACCAGCTGTTATCTCCAGGGAATGCCATGGTTGTTTGTCGTCTACATCTGGACTTTGGTTTTGTTCCAGAACTTGAGTTATTTTAGCACATCTGTCCTACGGATCTGGTGTATTTGTATGCAGACTGTTGGTTCCTTGCCTCTCATGCATATGCACTCCAATTTTGAAGGAAGCACCCCTAATATGTTGACTTTTACGAAATGCTTGTTAGGGGACAGTGGGTTGATTCTTTTGTGTTCCCACAAAACGGGCCCTGGAAACAATCCTACAAGATTATGTTTACTACTGTAAACCAATGTTTAGGAAAATATTGCAGTTAACAAATCAAATGACATTAGCTGCAGTGGGATTTGGTGACAAAAAGGATTTAAATAGTACCACTGCCTTTTTGAGGGAAGCAGTGTCATTATTTGATCTTTCACATACAAAATATTATGTACATGAAAGAAACATATACTGTGACAGTCACGTCAGATATGCTTCTGTTTGAAGATTCCTTATGACAACAAACCTGTGCTATACATTTGAAGGGAGCCGCCGTGGTGTTAGAATCACCAACAATCACCACCAAAAACAATGATTCTTCTTTAAAATAAGAGTGAAAAAGGGTACTTTGTACATGTAGGAAAAGGCAGAATTATGGAGCACATCAACAGAGGGTGGAGGGGGGGGGGGGGGTGACGGTGGAACAGAGAGATGATTGGGAGCCAGCCACGGTAGTGTAGTGGCTACACCAGTGGTCTCCAACAATTTTCAGGTGGCAACCCTTGAGTATATGGGAAGACCCCTCACCCCCCTACATAATAACATTGGATTTAAAAAAGAGGAGGACAAAAAAGAAAAATCCCAAGTTCTGTTAATAAGAACTTGGAGAAAAGAACATGCATAATTCCAAACAATATTTAAGTATTGTGTATTACAGTAGTTATGATTACCCATGACAAAACAGGCGAACAAAAAGTAGAAAAACAGACATCTGCAGTTCCTCCCTCTGAGTCCTGGTATTCTGTACTGTACTGTTCGAGCAATGTTCTCCAACAAAGTACACCTGTATTTAAAAAAAATATATAAAAAAATAATTAGCAAATAGAATTACAAGTGTGGCACAGGTAGAATGAGTAGTTAAGACAGTACTGTTGTGTATAAGGAGATACTTCACACATGTGGGCTGCTTCCAGTTTATCTCTAAAGGGCAAGGCCAGTGATGAGTGGGACATTTAACATACAGATAAGAGGTTAAGCAGTCTTGTGCAGGACATGACAATTCCTTGAATCAGCCCAGGACAAGAGAGTCGTGTGTCAGCCGTGGAAGCCTCCTTGGATGGTGGGGAATGCTCAGGTTCTGTCCATGCCTTTCTTCGACGGCCTACAAGTCTCAGCGTGGCTGCTCTGGCCGGGGTTCTCTAGTAGCAACATCTGGAGATAAAGGCGTAAAAAGAACACCACACAAATCATAATGCCCACTGAAGTCGAATGTGTTGGCAGAAACGTGCAAAATCACAGCTATGTTATAAACAGGCCCAATGCAAATTATGTCTTGAGGATAAATGATGAAAAAGAAAACAAGTGTGCGTATGTCAACGTGTGCCTTTTGAAGAAATATTCCCCATGTGTATTCAAAAGCACCCAATTTTTTGGGGGAAAAAAGGAATAGACCTCACTGTCCCCCGAATAAAAGATGACTAATTAAGGATGTTTCCTTCAAAGTCGGGGTGCATCTGTGACAGAGACGAGGGACCATATGTCTACAGACAGATCAGCCTGATTTGTAAAACACATGTGCACTCAACACTCAAGTTTGGACCAAAATCAAAGTTCAGAAGCAGAAGAATAACCAGAACTTTGTGCCAGTTTACAACCAATGAATGCTAACAAGAAGAAGAAGCAGAAGAAAAAGAAAAAGAAGAAGAAGAAGAAATAGAAGAAGAAGAAGAAGAAGAAGAAGAAGAAGAAGAAGAAGAAGAAGAAGAAGAAGAAGAAGAAGAAGAAGAAGAAGAAGAAGAAGAAGAATTGTGAAGACAGCACATAACAACTAACAGTCCGCACATAACACCTAACAGTCCGCACATAACTAACAGTCCGCACATAACAACTAACAGTCCGCACATAACAGCTAACAGTACGCAGATAACAACTAACAGTCCGCACATAACAACTAACAGTCCGCACATAACAACTAACAGTCCGCACATAACAACTAACAGTCCGCACATAACAAATAAAAGTCTGCACATAACAACTAACAGTCCACACATAACAACTAACAATCTGCACATAACAACTAACAATACTTCATCACCAAACAATCTTAAACAAGATCAGTATATTTCTGGTCAATATTTGTATCATAATTCCAGGGAGCCGGGTTCAATCCCAGCTCAGTTGATATGGCAGGAGATTTTCTTGCATTGGTTTCGACCATGCACAGTGAAAACTACTGAAAATGTATGGGTGGCCAGGTGACAGACAAGACTTCCACTTATGGGTGGAAAACCTCAAGAGATGGACTAGAATAATTCTCATTGAAGACAGACGGTAGAATGTGTTGTATATTCTTTACATCCATCGTCATCACCACCACATAGCTATCAACATCAGCACCATGTGCCTTGTCGACAAGCATAGGTGGTCATGTTTCGCCATCTCAGACAATCACCAGAATGACTGATCAAGTCAGTGCTGGCGTAGCCACATCCATATGTATATATATATATAAAAGACATTCTTGTACTTATATCTTTCCCTTCCCTTTGCTCCTTTCTACCAATGTTGCCAGTAACAGTCAACAACTAGATAGGCTGAAATGCTATTGGTTGGTGATGATGGATGAGAGATTTCTATTACAGAAGTAGAAATTAGCTTGTCTCTCTAGTAATGTCTTTACAGGGATTTGTATTGTTACACTTACAAATGTAAAATTATAAGAGCAGCATCAACAATAATCTTCCTTGGAATAATTGATGAATAAATAAATAAATGGCAATAAATGAATGAATCAAGAATGGACATCGCTACTCTCGGGACGTTCCCAGTCATGCTCCGTCCCTTTTTCAGAAAGCAACGAATCTTCCTTAGAGAGATATACATCTCAAATACGAGAGAAGTCATTCAGTAAAGGCAGCTGCATTAATAAGTCTTTTACAAGGGGCTGGAACACATCTTTTTTTTAATGGACATGGATTTGGTTCACGAGTGCAGTTTTTACGGAGAAGCACAGGGATTGTCACTGGACTACAGTGTTGGTGCTTTCTGCAACACTCATGACATGAGACTAGCCATTCTGTAGAGAGGGACCTAGCCAGATGGGATAAAACCCGGTGCAATATAGTTGTCCTCCTGACTTCAACTTTTTTTTTTAATTGAAGAATGTGAGTTTGCAACCAAGGCCAGACTGCAAAAACAGCAATTTAAAACAGCATGTGGTCAAACAAGAGCATTACACAGAAACCAACAGAGAACTGGTGTCGTCAACCACTGTATGCTGTGGAACTTACTAAAGAGGGGATCCAAACATTATTGGACTGAATGGTTCGATGTGCATTGAGAAAGATCTGTTTACTTCCTAACTAGCTTTTTTCAAAGGAAAAAACAAAATGTCCATACATACAAAATCTAAAATACTGAAACTCAAGGTTTTAACAGAAAACAACAGACACTTCAATATACAGCATCTCAAATACTTCCACTATAATCTGCAGCATCTCAGATACTTCAACTAAACACATTTCATTGAACCAAATGTCAAATGTATACAAACAGTGTTACAACAATGTTATTACTGTCTGCGGCCGCCACGATTCCTTTTATTCCAGTCACCATACACTAGGGAGTAGAGAAAACAAAATTCATAAGCTAAGCATGTACAGATTCCGGGCAACGTGTGTAAACAATTGTTCAGAAATACAGCATACATGGAACATGTTGAATAGAATTACTTAGTTCAAACTGAACATGTTGGGCTGAAAGACCAAGATATCAAATCCTAGCTGTACATCGTAGCTCAATGTGCCAACTGTCTGCAACCAAAAATGCAGCAGCAGAAGAAGAAGAGGAAGAAAAAGAAGAAAAAGAAAAAAAAGAATAAGAAAAAGAAGAAGAAGAAGAAGAAGAAGAAGAAGAAGAAGAAGAAGAAGAAGAAGAAGAAGAAGAAGAAGAAAAGGAAGCAAGATTTCACAAGAAGACGCGAGATATAAAATGACAATTAGAAATAAGACTATGTTGTTTTAATCTATAAAATTAAAAACAAGATGCTGTCGTGTATTTTAGTCTGGCTTCCCAAGAAAACCCATTCAGTCATGATAAAGACAAACACATATAGCTAGCTATACTAACTGAAACATTGTAGAACACACTTATTCAATGGTAATATCTTACTAGACAAAAGGGTCTCGGTGACTAAGTGGTTAAAACTGACTGCCTTTCTGTCTGGTAGTGCAGGTGTTTCGGACATCTCTAGAGCTGAAACACTGCTGGAGCTGTGGAGTTCGTACTTTGTGCAACACTATCACAGATGATCATTAGCTCCGTGGCCCTCTCGCCTTTAAATGCCATTTAGGCAAAATACAATAATTCTTTCAAAAACAGAGGCTATGTTTCAGAAAAGAAGCACAAAGGATGCAATATTTATGTAACAGTTCAGCTGCAGATATCAAGTGAAGAGCAACATCTTTTTAAAGTCATTAGCACAACGGGCCTGAGATGCTAGACTTATATTGTTATAGAACACTCAGCACTTGACGGGGGATGGGGTCAATATCACACCGGCTGCCTTTACTTCACAGGACAGTATCTGGTACCCATTTTAAGGAGTGTCTACCTGGCAGCCAAGAACAATTTTGAAAAAGAAAATGAACATCCGCCTCAAAAGGTATTTAAATCCAAGACCTTTGGGCCAGCTGGCAAACATCAAACCACTGCACTTCTGTCACTCCCATTAATCAACTGGAACGGCCTAAATTACAGCATGTCTTTAAGGTGCATTATACAATTTACACTTACTGTTTTTATCATCTGAGTCTGAGCCTGAAAATACGAAACAAAAGGGTAAGGTTTAGCTTATGTATGCCCAAACAATTATATTAGATTAACATTTCAGATAATTTAATCAACACATGTAAAGAAAGTGAAAAACATTTTATTTGCAAACGTGCACTGGTTAGACGATTAAGATATATTGGATGACGGTGAACTTATTGTATTTGCAAACCTGTGAATTTTGGCTGATCATATCTTAGACAATGGCCAAATGTTTTATTTGCAAACCTGTGAGTGTTAGATGATCAACACTTTAGACAACAGTGAAGTATTATATTGTTAGATGATTAACACATGTTAGATCGCAGGAAAATATCATACTTGCAAACCTGTAAGTGTTTGATGATCAACACACGTCAAACAACGGTGAAATATTATACTATTAGATGATCAACACATATCAGATCATAAGGAAATGTCACATCTGCAACTGTGAGTGTTAGATGATCAAGAGTGGTATATACATCAGTGAAACATATTTATTGAAAGATATGAATATAAGATAATCATCATATATATTTCACACATATTTTTAATTTTCATATGCCCTTTATATTCCTATATATCATATTTTTCAACCAACACACATTCAGTAATCCTATCTGTTGTGAGGTCCTGCTGATCACTCTATGTCGCTGCACATTTTTCTCTGTTTTTAAAAAAAAAAGTCTTTACTCATTGTAAATTAAATCTCAGTCTGAATCTTTCACTCCGTGAGTTTAAATGCATCATTATCAGGTGTCTTGCCAACTGGCGTGGGCGATCATGCCTCTCTACAATCCACGATCTCCGGCAGCATGTATCAGTTCTATGCTGACACACCTCCATGCCATGCAACTAGTCTGTCAAGAATCTTCTCTCATTGTCTTCCTTTATCCCTACTTCCACAAATCTTTCCAGTGGTCAAAACATTTTCCATTTTCCCTCTTCTCCCTTAACATGGCTGAAAAGTGATGACTGTCTCCTTCTGATGTTTGTGATAAGTTGTCTTTGGGCTC